GTGGCGCCAGCGGGAGTTGACGTTAACCATGGAAACGCAGAGCGGGCTGCGGCGTGACCTAGCGGAGCTGGCTGTCAGGTCCCCGCAGCTTATCTGTCTCCCCGTCGGGGTCGCAGACTTTCTCCCGGCGGGAGCGCCCAGTCTGTTCATCTGCAGAAATGCAGCCCTCTGGATGCCTTTGCATCGCCTCTTCCCTCGGGTGACTCGAGGTACGTTCGATCCCAACACCCTGGAGACTTCTTTGTCGCCTCAGTTTCCAAGCCAGCGCACAGCCACGTTGTTCTTGCAGTTTTAAATTGCGACAGGTTTCTCGTTCTTCGTTATAAAGCCTACAGGTGCCACTATTGAACTTTCTTAAGACGTAAGATGAACTTAGTCGCTAGAGAGAGCAATCTGGTGTGATTTTTATTTTCTTTTGAAAGACTATATTTTAGCCTGGTGACTTAACAGCATTTTGTTTCTAAGAGACACTTGTGAAATGGAAAATGGCCTTTTAAGTCTTGATTTGCGGATGGCCTTGTTACCCCACTAACGCTTACAAATTACTCTCCTTAGATGGTAATGGACTTTTTCTCTTCTTATCTCCAACTAAACCACTTTTGCCCCAAATTGGTCAACTTCTGGCCCCCTGACCATGAATCTCTCTTTACCCACTGATCTACTGCCTCTCTCCACAACTCTCTGTCAAGGACCAGCAGTTACTTCTATGAAGTCTACTTCATCAGAAGTTATTTATCAGGCTTTTGAATTCATTATCTGCCTTATTTCTTTCTTACTCGGCTGTATATTAGGTGTTTTGTTTTTGGTTAACTCATTCCTGCAGGTAGGGCAAAGACCATCCTTTATATTATAGGATATCCTCCCAACTTCCCTTTTAAACAGCAATATTTAATGTTTTTCTACTTTAATCAGCATATTTAAGCTATGCCATTAATGTATTACATGCCTTTCCATGCCAAGGTGTTTTACTAAATATTAGGGAGAATCAAAAGTATCTCAAGATTTAGCCCCTCACAAATAACTTAATAGAGAAAAAAAAAAGAGGTGAAAAGGTAACATATGAAGTTTAGCCCCTCACAAATAACTTAATAGAGAAAAAAAAAGAGATGAAAAGGTAACATGTGAAGAGTGAACAGTGCCGAAACCGGTTTGGCTCAGTGGATAGAGCGTCTGCCTGCGGACTGAGGGGTCCCGGGTTCGATTCCGGTCAAGGGCATGTACCTGGGTTGCGGGCACATCCCCAGTGGGAGATGTGCAGGAGGCAGCTGATTGATGTTTCTCTCTCATCGATGTTTCTAACTCTCTATCTCTCTCCCTTCCTCTCTGTAAAAAAATCAATAAAATATATATTAAAAAAAAAAAGTGAACAGTACAAGAAATGCCTTATGTTGGTACATGTTACAAGATGAGTAGTATAAACAAGCAATGCTTTTAATATACAGAGAGAAGAGAGGCACAGTTTGGCCTAAGTACTCTGCAAAATTTTCAGAAAGGAATAGGCTGAATCTTGAAAGTTGACTAAGATTACTAATTAGGGAAGGGAGTAGAGGGTATCATAGGCAAAGGAGAGGCTTTGAGCAGAGGCACGATGAAAAGCACAGAATGTGTTTGCTGGGTATGGGGTTGAGAGTTCTAGAGAATGTTTGGTAAACTTAAGAGGTGTGAAAATGTCATACATAAAATACACGCACAAACACAGCATAGTGTGTATGCCTTCTGAAACTTTTTACACCTATACAAATTGTACAGCCATTAAACATGCAAGTGTGTATGTACTCTTGTTTTAAAATGCAAATGGGTCTTCGTATGTTTGTTTTACTTTGCAATATCTCATGGGAATCTTTCCATGTTTTCACATTAACAATAGATCTTCGGAATATTTCCCTGCTTGGAATATAATCACAGGGTATCCTATCAAAGTTAAACGAACATGAGTAGTAACGTGCATGCAGCTAGGTAATCTGGTTGATAAGTATCCTCAGTTTTTGGCTTCCTTTCCCAGCAAGCCATCTCACCTTGTTCCCGGCTTGCCTCCGTGGAGCAAGACAGGGCAACTTTTCCTAATTTCCTGGGCACATCCAGACTCTTAAAAAAGCCCAGGCCAGCCATCCAAGTTTATTTTCCTATCTGATGTCATTTTTCATAGATAATTGAAATCAGAATGTTTACCCCTGCTTACAAGAGTGTGCCTTTACTTACCCTATGGCTTCTACAGAACAATCATATCAGAATACAGTACACTCAGTGTACAGAATACTAAGCCTGACATCAGTACAGGAGATAAACTCATTCAGAGGGTAGGGAGGCAATCTTCTCATTCCCTGAGATTGAACCATCAACCACATAAGTTCTGCTGTTTTGTGAGTACTTGCAGGGCTGCCATGTGAGTAAAAGCTATGACTTGTTCTGTGCAGAATGAAGACTAATGGCTTGAAGATATAAGACAACTAGGGGCCCAGTGCACGAATTCGTGCACCTTGAAAGGAACTGTGGGCCGCAAGGCTGCTTTAGGCACAGGGGCGGGTCTCAGCCCATCCTCCGTGCCCCTGCCCAGCCCCTCCTGCCGTGGCCCCCGGTCCCCTGTCTGCCAGCAGCCCCGCTCCTGCTGCCGCCGCTCCCACACACTGACAGCGCCAGCCCTGCTTGAACCCGCTGACAGCATGGAGCAATTGGGGCTGGTGCCAGCAGTGGGTGTGAGCAGGGCTGGCGCAGTCAGCAGGTGCGAGCAACAGCTGCTGTCCCGATCGCCCCTCTGGAACAGGGGAAGGTGGAGAAGCCTTCAGGGGCAATCAGGGCCGGCAGCTGCCACTCGCACCCGATGATGGCGCCAAGCAATTGGGAAGGGTGCTGGGTACCAGCAGTGGGTGCAAGCAGTGGCTCAGCGCTGCCTGCAGGTGCGAGTGGGGCCGGCACTGGTAGTGGGTGTGAGTGGCGGCTCTGGCGCTGGCAGTGGGTGCAAGCGGCAGCTACTGGCCCCAATCTCCCCTCAGGAGCAGGGGGAGGTAGAGAAGCCCTAAGGGGCGATCGGGGCTGGCAGCCGCTGCTTACACCCTCTGACGGCACTGAGCAATCGGTGCCAGCACCAGGCGCCAGCAGTGGGTGTGAGCGGGGCCGGTGCTGGCAGCAGGTGCAAGCGCCAGGCAGGACCGCAGCACGCTTGAGCAAAGAATTTTCAGTAACCACCAGAGGCTCGCCCCTATGACAGCGACCGGCGCCCCACCTTGGTCTAGCCCCCCCACTCACCTGCTCCACCATCCTGCTGTGGCCGATGCCTGCCATGTTACGTGTACGCCCCCTGGTGGTCAGTGCACGTCATAACAACCGGTTGTTCGGTTGTTCCGCCGTTCCGTCTATTTGCAGATTAGCCTTTTATTATCTACTAGAGGCCTAGTGCACGAATTCATGCACAGGTGGGGTCAGACTGGCCTGGCCCCTATTGGGGTGGATCGGGGCCGGGCCTGTTAGGAGGAGGAGACGGCAGGAGGTTGGCCGGCCAGCCCCACCCCTTGTTCAGGCCGGTTCGCTGGCTGCAATGGGCATCATAGCGACTGGTCATTACAGCGTTCTGGTTGCTGGCTTTTTATATATAGAGATACTAGAGGCCTGGTGCACAAAATCGTGCATGGGTGGGGTCTGGCTGGCCCACCCCAATCAGGGTGGGGGGGCCAATTGGTCCGGGCTGGCTGGGGCGAAGTGCCGCGGGCAGTTGGCCTGCTGGCCCCGCCCCCGGTTAGGATGGGGGGCAATGAGGGGGAGCTGGCCGGGGGGGAGTTATTAGTGTCAAAGATCTTTACAAGGTGTATACACATTTGCTGTTAGCTTTCGGATGAGTTGAAGCTTCAAAGGTGCTTTAGTGTCAGGGGTGCTTCCGTTTCTAAGTCTCTCCCTAGACAGGTAATGCGGTTTAGTTCCCTGCTGACAAACCCTCTAAAGAGAGGCCGTGGTGTGATGTGGCTGCCCTCTTTGGTTGTAAGCAGTAGAGAGACAATGCAGGAAGATGGTGGTTGTGCTGGGCACTTCTCCTGGACACCTGATTGCATCAGGGTGGGGGGTCCGATCGGGGGCAGGGCCAGCAGGGGGGAGGGGCCAAGGGTAATTGGCTGGCCAGCCCCACCCCTGATAGGGCTGGTTGGCTGCCACAGTGCGCGTCATAGCCACCGGTCATTCCGGTCGTTCCGCTGTTGGGTCTCTTGGCTTTTATATGTATAGATCTATCTATAATAATAAAAGCGTAATATGCTAATTAGACCAGACAGTCAAACAACCTTCCGGACGTTCATCTAGACGAAGCTGCTGTGGTGGGGGCCGAGGCAGAGGCAGTTAGGGGCGATCAGGCAGGCAGGCGAGTGGTTACGGGCAATTAGGCAGGCAGAGGGGTTAGGGGTGATCAGGCATGCAGGCAAGCAGTTAGGGGGGATCAGGCAGGCAGGCAAGCAGTTAGGGGGGATCAGGCAGGCAGGCGAGCAGTTAGGGGGGATCAGGCAGGCAAGCAGTTAGGGGTGATCAGGCAGGCAGGCAAGCGGTTAGGGCAATCAGGCAGGCAGGCAGAGTGGTTAGGGCAATCAGGCAGGCAGGCAAGCGGTTAGGAGCCAGCGGTCACAGATTGTGAGAGGTATGTCCGACTGCTGGTTTAGGCCCGATCCCACAGGAGGATCGTACCTAAACAGTCAATCGGACATCCCCCAAGAAGTCCCGGATTGTGAGAGGGTGCAGGCCGGGCTGAGGGACTTGCCACCCCATGCATGAATTTTATACAACAGGCCTCTAGTAGATATATAAAAGCCCAGCAACTAAACGGTTGAACGACCGAACAATCAGTCACTATGACGCACACTAGGGCAGCCAACTGGCCTGGTCTGGGCCCCGATTGGCCCCCAACCACCTGAAGTCCCTCCCTCACAGAAGCCCCGCCCCCAATTAGCCATCATCAGGGTGGGCCAGCCAAACTTCACTCATGCACGAATTCGTGCACTGGGCCTCTAGTATAGGATAAGTGTTTATATTTTAAAGAATTTCCTAACAGTATAACAAGAGGGGTTGTAAAGCAGTAATTCTTAATAGTGACCCAAAAACCTTTTGTGATGCCCAAAAGCTCTCTCCAGGGCTGATTTTGATTGGGTAGAAGTGACTTGCAGAAAAACTTTTAAACTGACAGGAAGAAAGGCTATTTTAAGATGGCTTTAAATACTTTTATGTGTTGTAAAAACATATAACAAATTTTATCATCTTAACCATTTTTCAGTGTATAGTTCAGTAATATCAAGATTATTACATTGTCGTGCACCATTCTTTCCCATGATTCCTTTCATCTTGTAAAACTCTATACCCATTAAAAAACACTCCCCATTCTCCTGTCCCCCCAGCCCATGATAGTCATCATTCTACTTTCAGTCTATGATTTTGATTATTCTAAGTACCTCATATAAGTAGAGTCATACAGTATTTGAAATGTGACTTATTTTACTTAGCATAATGTCTTTAAGGTTCATCTGTGTTGTAGCATATTACAAGATTTCCTTCCTTTTTAAGACTGAATAATATTCTTCTATAAGTATATACCACATTTTGCTTATCCATTAATCCTTTGATGGACATTGAGTTGATTCCACATTTTAGTTATTGTAAATAATGCTGCTATGGACATGAGTATATAATATCTCTTTGATTATGGACATGAGTATATAATATCTCTTTGAGACCCTGCTTTTAATTCTTTGGGGCATATATCCAGAAGTGGAATTCCTAGGTTTTATGGTAATTCGATTTTTAATTTTTGAGGAATTACCATACTGTTTTTCATAGAAGTTGTACCATTTTACATTCCCAGCAGCAGTGCACAAGGGTTCTAGTTTTTCCAGATTCTCATCAATATTTGTCATTTTTTGTTGTTGTTTTTATAGTAGCCATACTAATGGGTGTGAGGTAATATCTCATTGTAGTTTTGATTTGCATTTCCCTAATGACTAGTGATGTTGAGCATCTTTTCATTTGGTTACTGGAATTTGTATGTCTTCTTTGGAAAAATGCCTATTCAAGTCCTTTGCCATTTTTTGAATTGAGTTGTTTGTTCTTTTATTGTTGGGCTTTTGGAGTTCTCTATATATTCTGCATATTAATCCCTTATCAGGTATATGCTTTGCAAATATTTTTTCTCATTCTGTGGGTTGCCTTTTGACTCAGTTGAAAGTATCTTTTGATGCATATACTTTTAAAATTTTTATTCAGTCCAATTTGTCTATTTTTTGTTGTTACTTATTGCTTTCCAAGAAATCATTTCCAAATCCAATTTTGGAAGCTTTTCTCCTGTATATTCTTCTAAGAGTTTTATTATTTTAGCTCTTACATTTAGGTCCTTGATCCATGTGAGGTAGTTTTTTTACAGAGAGGAAGGGAGAGGGATAGAGAGTTAGAAACATCGATGAGAGAGAAACATCGATCAGCTGCCTCCTGAACACCCCCCACTGGGGATGTGCCCGCAACCAAGGTACATGCCCTTGACCGGAATCGAACCTGGGACCCTTGAGTCTGCTGGCTGACGCTCTATCCACTGAGCCAAACCAGTTAGGTAGTTTTTGTATATGGTGTTTGGTAAGGGTCTGACTTCATTCTTTTGCATCTGGATATCCTGTTTCCCAGCACCATTTGTTGCAAAAGACTGTCCATTCCTCATTGGATGGTCTTGCATCTTTGTCAAATCTTTGACCATATGTAAGAGTTTATTTCTGGGCTTTCTATTCTGTTCCATTGGTATATATGTCTATCATTGTGAAGATGGCTTTAAACATAATTCTTTTTTTCTAGTACAACATATGATCCCTGAGGTAATCCTTTGTTAGCTAGCCCTGTGTTAGGCAACTGTTTTTCTGGATAAGCTACTGAGTATATCCCAGGAAAAGGAAAACTTGAAAATAAGAGAGACCACATTTTTGATACATAGTTTTTGTGACCCTTAAATTAAAATAATTTAGAGCAGCGATTTTCAATCTTTCTTATCTCATGGCACATATAAAATAATTACTAAAATTCTGTGGCACACTAAAAAATATTTTTGCCAATCTGACCAAAAAAAAATAAGTTTAATGTTGATTGATTTATAAAAAATTATAGTAATTTTTTATCCTGTTTGCTCCAAAGTGACTTTTTAAAACATCAGGTATCTATACTTGTAAATAAGGATTTCTGGTACCAAGACTTAACCAATCAGATGCAACCTCATTATGTGATGTGACCAATAAGATGCAGCTCTAATATATGACCTATGTATTTATGGTTCAAGAGAGGGAATTCACACCAAACAACTATTGTGTTAGCTGTTGTCATTTTTTTTTATTTGATAGTCTAAGGGAGAAGGGAGTTAGTGCCCCTGACTACATAGTTTTAAAAATTCTTGCAGGACACCAGTGGAAAATCACTGATCTAGACTAAAGCATGTATAGGTCTTGTTATTATTTCAAATGCTTTTCTAGAGCAAGTAGATTTTTGAAAACTGACAACAGAAAGAGAGACTAAAATTTTAATCCTGTGATAATATAGCTAATAATACGCATTATTCTGATACCTGAAGTCTTTTGAGTTGAATGATGAAATCATTGTTCCTACTACATGTTGAACAGCCAGTGGCTTTTTATCAGAATGCTACTATTTTAGCAGGATTTCACTTTTTAAATTATCGGAAAATCCTAAATTTACTATAATTGTTAAGTGATATGACTAACAGCATTTCTGTTTTCCATTTCTATTTCTATTTTAATTCAAGGTAATTATAGAGAATATCCTTATTTTAGGGCAGAAGTTGGTAAACTGTAACCCACAGGCCACATCTGGCCCACAACCAGTTTGGGTAAATAATGTAAAGTTTTATTGGAACACAATCAATCATATCAATTTCCGTATGTAAAGTCTGTGGCTGCTTTTCTGCAACAACAGCAGGGTTGAGTCATTATAACAAAGATCATATGGTCCACAAAACCTAAAATGTTCATTCTTTGACCCTTTACAGAAAAAAATTTGCTGGCCCGTGTAATAGAGGGAAAAGTTAATAAGCAAACAACAAAAGCTCTCAGGGAAATGATCAGTTAAACCAGATTTGAGTTGAAAGTACTTACTTTTTTAACTTTTCCTTTGGTCTCAAAAATCTCAAATTGTGAGTTAATGTAAGATTTAATTCCAGATATTATGTTCTAGATAAATTAATAATAATGTGTTGGTCGTTTTATTTCAAATGAAAAACAACTTAGCCATTATTTATTTAGTACCAAGTATTGTCAGGCAATGGGGAGGAGGTAGAGAAATGAGGTTGTAAATCCTGCCCTTGAAGGAATTGAGGAGAGAAAATAGAAATGTGGGATTTCCCCTACATGTTTTAAGTATGACATTTCCAAAAAGTGACTTTTTTCTTTCTTTTTTTAGAGACTGCTGTGTTACAGAAAATGATGTGACTTTCAGGTGCAAAGTTTTATTGGAACACAATCAATCATATCCATTTCCGTATGTAAAGTCTGTGGCTGCTTTTCTGCAACAACAGCAGGGTTGAGTCATTATAACAAAGATCATATGGTCCACAAAACCTAAAATGTTCATTCTTTGACCCTTTACAGAAAAAAATTTGCTGGCCCGTGTAATAGAGGGAAAAGTTAATAAGCAAACAACAAAAGCTCTCAGGGAAATGATCAGTTAAACCAGATTTGAGTTGAAAGTACTTACTTTTTTAACTTTTCCTTTGGTCTCAAAAATCTCAAATTGTGAGTTAATGTAAGATTTAATTCCAGATATTATGTTCTAGATAAATTAATAATAATGTGTTGGTCGTTTTATTTCAAATGAAAAACAACTTAGCCATTATTTATTTAGTACCAAGTATTGTCAGGCAATGGGGAGGAGGTAGAGAAATGAGGTTGTAAATCCTGCCCTTGAAGGAATTGAGGAGAGAAAATAGAAATGTGGGATTTCCCCTACATGTTTTAAGTATGACATTTCCAAAAAGTGACTTTTTTCTTTCTTTTTTTTAGAGACTGCTGTGTTACAGAAAATGATGTGACTTTCAGGGTACTCCTGAGTGAGAAGGATGAGTCCTGATGTGCCTCTACTGAATGATTACAAAAAGGACTTCCTTCTGAAGCGCTTTCCACAGACTGTTCTTGGAGGCCCTCGGCTCAGATTAGGCTATTGTGCACCTCCTTACGTATATATTAATCAAATTGTCCTTTTTCTGATGCCATGGGTTTTGGGTGGGATAGGAACACTTTTGTACCAATTAGGCATCCTAGAAGACTATTACACAGCAGCACTCTCAGGTGGACTAATGCTTTTCACCGCATTTGTCATCCAGTTCACAAGTTTATACGCCAGAAACAAATCATCAACGGTAGAAAGAATGCTAAGCACAGATATCTTAGCAGAGGAAGATGAGCATGAATTTACAAGTTGTACTGGTGCTGAGACTATCAAATTTCTAATTCCTGGGAAGAAATATACAGCCAATATGGTTTTTCATTCTGTTCTTGCTGGGTTATTGTGTGGTCTTGGAACGTGGTATCTGCTCCCAAATAGGATAACCTTGCTGTATGGCAGTCCAGCAGGCACTGTTCTGCTGTTTTTCTTTGGATGGATAACATTATGTACAGGAGAATATTCATTAATTGTAAACACAGCCGTAGAGACTGCAACTTTTCAAACCCAGGATACTTATGAAATCATTCCTCTTATGAGACCTCTTTATATTTTTTTCTTTGTTTCTATAGATCTTGCATACAGGTAATAAGCTATCAAATACTTTATAACTCGCTTTATTTTAAAGCAGACATAATAAGAGCACTCTCCATAGTATTAAAAAATGTATCTTTGAAGTGGAAGTCATCAAGATAAACCATTGGGTGATAGCTTTGATGATTAATCTCTAGGAAAAATTTCTGTTAAACATACATACTAAAACAGTAAGTAAATCTTATTGAAGAGTAAAAAGAAAATCCTTTATAAGATAAATCAACAAAATTTCAGTCCTGTGTTTCACTTTAAAGAAAGAGCTATGAATCTATATGATAGCTGGCTAAAACCTGGGAAAAGAGATAGAACTTTACTGTGAGGAGAAAATGAAGACTTTAAAATTTATGTACATAAATATTATGTACAGATTGAATTTCTGAAGAATAGATAACATCGAATTTTGTTATAGTAACTATATTGAAGAAAAATATTTTAAAAAATCAGTTGGCTACAGAAGAAAAATCAAAAGAATGTTTAACAAAATTATTTACAAAATTGTTTGATAACCACTTTTTGCTTGCCTTTTCTAACCCCATTTTGCTTGCCTTTTTCTAAATCTTACTTTTCTTTCTTTGTTGCTATAGATTATAGCTTTCTCTTTTATAGGTTAGTGTCCAGGTAGAAATGGATAGTCATGTTATGGCCTGAATGTTTGTGTTCCCTCCAAATTCATATGTTTAAAGCCCTAACACCCCATGTGATAGTATTTGGAGATGAGGGTTTTTGGGAGGTAATTATCAGAAACATTAGAATTTAAACATTTTTTATAAAAGAATTAACCTATTTGGCTGAGTCATATACACAAGAATATAAACACAATGTTTAGTTACCTCAATTACATATGCTTCTATTTATTTATGATCTTGCATATAAATACTTTTCTGTGCCATTGCTTATATTTATTTTCAAAACAAAAATATTTGGGGAGTAAATGTAATTTGGATAAACTATTTCTTGAGTATACATTATTTTACATGTTATCTTATCCTTGACTATGTTAGCAAGAGAAGTGTTATCTTTTTTTAAAGATGTAATTTAAAAATACATATATTTTTCCATCACCTTTTATCCCCCATCCCCTCTTCCACCTACATCCCTTTCCCCTCTCCCCCACAATCACCATACTGTTGTCTGTGAGTACGTGAGTTCTTTCTCTCTTTTTTTTATTTTTTGCTCAGTGTCTCCATGCCCCCTGCCTCCCCCTACCCCTCACCCCAGAGAGCTGTCAGCTTGCTCTCTATGAATCTAAGGAGAAGTGTTATCTTAACAACAACAAAAAAAAACCACAGCAACAAAAACCCCTCTATATATCTGCATGTTTTCCTTGACCTTCCTGTGGCTTATTGTGTATGGTTCGATTTTCTTTTTTGTTACTTCAGTGTTTTCTTCTCAGGATGAGATTAATTTTATTTTAAACTATATTACACAAAGCATTGTCCTCTAATTTAGCATCACATTGTTAACCTTGTGTTCATTAATTCTCTGCTTATAAAAAATGTGAAGGACATACATTATGATGCAGAGTGCATTAGCTAGCATAGTCCTGCTATGTGTGTGACCAAACACATTATGCTGTTATTATATCTGTAGTTTTTATACATTTGCTTCTGGACTGTTAACATACATTTAAGTGTTGACTATTACAGAAGTTGCCTTTTTCCTTGATTTCTAGTAGCTCAGGTATAAAGTACAATTATAAGTTTTGAGATTCATCTCTTTTGAGTTATCTCTGGAACTCCATAAGTACTATGACATTGTTGCTTTCCAGACAAGGTGATTGTTTAGCCTCATTTCAAAAAATTAGTAACATAGAGAATTTTATTCTTGTGTGCTTTAAAGTTTGTATTACATTATTTGAATTCATTTAATGATGTTGTATTTAACTGGTCAGTGCTGTATCAAGAACCAGTTTCTCCACTTAGGAGAAAAGCCATCTCTGATTTATGAGATTGTATAGTACCAGTTTGTGTTCTCAAATTCATACCACTGTATATACAAAATAGAAACAAGTTAAGTTTCCAGGCTAACCCACAGAGACACATTCATAACCTAATGTTGCTGGCTTCTGCTATTAACTATACTAACTTCAAATTCTGGGGCCTGGGAGCAAGATAGTACGAGAGAGTTGAAGAAAGAGAACAGCTTCTTCTCTGCCAGCTACTGATGTGTGAACAGCAGGAAGGCTTTGGCTTTCCCAGAGTTACTTGCAATTTTAAACTTACAAATTTTATACTCTAAAAAATCATTGGTAGAATGTAGCCAATGTAGTTTAGACATTTAAGGGAGAAATGTTTTTGCCCTGGGCTCAGTGCAGTTTTACAGATTCCTAAATTCAATGTTATTCAGTAAACTAGAGGCCCAGTGCATGAATTCGGGGGTCAGGGCCGATTGGGGCAATTGGGGCCGGCTGGCTGAGGGGAGGGACTGTGGGAGGTTGGCTGGCTATGGGAGGTTGGCTGGCTACGGGAGGTTGGCTGTGGGAGTGCACTGACTACCACAGGGCAGCTCCTGCTTTGAGGGTTTGCCCCCCTGGTGATCAGTGCGCGTCATAGCGACTGACCGGTCATTTGGTCGTTCGGTCACTTAGGCTTTTATATATATAGATTACTTATATATAGATTACTTTTAATTACATTTTCTTTCCACATTTGAATCCACATATTTTCTAAGTGCTAATTTGTACACTGCTGAGGAGAGAGGGTAGTTCCTGATATAAGGGAAGGACAATGATCACAACTTATATGTGTTGATCTTTTGTAAATTGGGACTAGGACCTTTCTGTAAGTGT